GTTACCAATAAAACCTACTCACCTAAATTTTCTGTAACTCTAAACCTTTTTTTTAGCTCACCTGCCCGTCGGGCAGGTGAGCTTATGTCATGGTGAGTCGTCTGGCGTCCGGCGTCCGTCGTCCGTCCTCGTCCGTCAACTTTTCCTTTAAACAACTTCTTCTGAAGAATGAACAGGCTTAGAGTCATGATATTTGGCTGAAAGCTTTGTTGGTAGGAGCCCGACGAAGTTTAAGAACTAAAATGACCTTGACCTACTTTCAAGGTCACAGGAGTCAAATATGTCAAAAACTTCAAACGACTTCTTCTGAAGAATTAAAAGGTATAGAATCTTCATATTTGGCTGATTGCTTCCTGGGATGAAGCCTAACAAAGTTCAAGAATAAAAAATGACCTTGACCTACTTTCAAGGTCACAGTGGTCAAATGTGTCAAACACTTCAAACGACTTCTTCTGAGGAACTGAAAGGCATAGAATCTTTATATTTGGCTGGTGGCTTCCTGGGATAGAGCCCAACAAAGTTTGAGAATGAAAATGACCTTGACCTTCTTTCAATGTCACAGGGGTCAAATGTGTCAAACACTTCAAACAACTTCTTCTGAAGAACTGAAAGGTATAGAATCTTTATATTTGGCTGGTGGCTTCCTGGGAAAGAGCCCGACAAAGTTTGAATACGAAAATGACCTTGACTTACTTTCAAGGTCACTGGAGTCAGATATGTCTAATTCTTAAAACGACTTCTTCTGAAGACCTAAAAGTTATAGAACCTAAATATTTGGCTGTTGACTTCCTGGGAAAGAAAGAGCCCAACAAAGTTTGAGAATGAAAATGACCTTGACTTACTTTTAAGGTCACATGAGGCAGATATGTCAAACACTTCAAACGACTTCTTCTGAAGAACTGGAAGGTATAGAACCTTAATATTTGGCTTGTAGCTTCCTGGGAAAGAGCCCAACAAAGTTTGAGAATGAAAATGACCTTGATCTACTTTCAAGGTCACAGGAGTCAGATATGTCTAATGCTTAGAACAACTTCTTCTGAAGAACTGGAAGGTATAGAACCTTAATATTTGGCTGGTTATTTCCAGGGAAAGAGCCAAACAAAGTTTGCGAATGAAAATGACATTGACTTACTTTCAAGTTCACAGCATTCAAATATGTCAAACGGTTCAAACTACTTCTGATGAAGAATTAAAAGGCATACATTTATAATATTTGGCTGGTGACTTCCTGGGATAGAGCTCACCAAAGTTCTTAAGTACTAAAAGAAATGGATTCAATAGATTTGGCTGGTAGCTTTTTGGAATAGAGCTAACCAATTTGAGTAGGAAAATGACATTGACCTACTTACAAGGTCGCAGGAAAAATATGTCAAGCAACTTATGAAGAAGAATAAAAAAGCATAGAATCTTATAATAATATTTTGCTGATAATTTCAACAGATGGAGCCAACAAAGTTTGCGATGGAAATATTTTTAGTGCAATATAATATTTAATGAGAATATTTTGCTATGATTGCTTAAATATTCAGGTGAGCGATTCAGGCCCTCTTGGGCCTCTTGTTTATATATAGGTATTATCATTTTTGTTTGATATGATATGGTTATTATAGAATAAAAGAGGCTAAAAGGGACGAATTAAGGGATGGGCTATTATGACCCTTACTCAACAACATGTTCTTTATTATTTACTGCCGTTCTTTACTGATATACCACTTCCTTTATTCAATTATTTGAATCCTTCATACACAGCATCCCTGAGTGCTCTCGGCACTTTGATTAGTTCAGATGTACACCTGTCCAACTGGGGTCAGGGGTTAATGTATTTTTAAAACTCTTTGTAGTGGCCAGTTAGTGGTCAGTGCGCGGCTGCACAGTGAGTAGCGCTTGTGTTAAATTTTATTCACACCTGTACAAGTTTTCAGCCTGTGTGGACGGAATTCTAAACTTGCATTGTTTTGATCTTTTTGGCTACAGACCACAATAATTGCGAGTACATTATATTTTCTATGGTTTTCATATATGACTATATTATCGGTAATGTACATTTATATGTACATGTAAAACACATTCAGTAAATTAACTGAATGTTTCAATTAATTCAAATTTGAATTTTCCCGCCATTTTGTTCCAAGTCTTTGTACAGTTTGGTAACGATGATTTTGATCGACCAGTTTGTAGTTGCTGTTATAAATGTCTTCATTTGACCCCAAAGTCCACATACGCTGTACATGTTGTCTCCCTTGGACCAAGACCCTCTTCCCTTTGAAGAGGTAGGTCGTATTTTGTGATCCTGTTTATTTGATATTTCTAACTGATGTGATAGATTTGTAAGTGTAATTGTAAATTACATCAGTCGCTGGTAATTCATATACATATCTGTTGTAGTTACAGATGTAGGTTTTGTATAACTTCCTATCACAAGTGTTACGCACATGTGTATTGTATCTCAGATGATTGCGACTGTGTTGTTCAGTCTTTTGATTTAGTAATAATTATATAGCGAAGCGTAAAGTTATCAAGTGCGTGAATCTGTTACATAAGCGCAAGTTAGCCTGTTCTATTATGTAAATTTCTAGGGTAGGAAAGGTTAACATTTATTGTTATTAATTGCTGTTTTAAGGTCTTCTGACTGGGGAATAAATGATATTGAAATGAAAGAAGGTGTTGATCATTGTTGGACAAGAACGAACCTTTAAGCCACGACCGGCTACAGTAGACTTACATTGCACTCTTAATTAAAGGTACATGTAAAATACAGTGTAACGATGAAATATTATTGTTACGGTGAACTAGAGTTACTGTTATGGTGAACAACAGTTTATTGTTTTATTGTGCAATCTGTTAAAAAATGGACATTATATGCATTCAATTTTTTCTAATTCTTTCTTTTATTGCATTTAGAAGCATGAATCACCTGGAATCTCAGAGACGTGTTTTGATTAGGGCTTACCGCTTTTGATTATACAATAGCAGAAATGTCCATAGTGCCAGTAGTTGATGCGTTAAAATTGTGAATATGGTTAACACATTTAAACGTATTGAGGGATGTAAACATCTCTTAGCATTTGAAAGAAAAGCATCTTTATAATATGCAGCATTGAAAATATTAGTGCTAAAACAAAATCCCTGTTTCAGAACTGTTATCTGAGTATCATTTCACCTAGAAACCCTGAAGCTTAAAAGGATGCCTACTGATGGGTAGAGGAGGAATTCTACTCAAGACCTCCAGAGGACAAAGTGACTCACCTGTTGTGTGAAAAACACTTCTTAACTGTAATTAGAGAGTTAGAAACGGAAAACTTCATAGATTGATTATAGTTTGGTTGAGGGGATTTTCTACTGTTTGAGGAACCCACACGTTTTGGTGTTGTTGAGTGAAGGTCATATTTAGCTATTTTGGTGTTGTGGAGTGAAGGTCATATTGAGCTATTTTGGTGTGGTGGAGTGAAGGTCATATTTAGTTATTTTGGTGTTGTGGAGTGAAGGTCATATTTAGCTATTTTGGTGTTGTGGAGTGAAGGTCATATTTAGCTATTTTGGTGTTGTGGAGTGAAGGTCATATTTAGCTATTTTGGTGTTGTGGAGTGAAGGTCATATTTAGCTATTTTGGTGTTGTGGAGTGAAGGTCATATTTAGCTATTTTGGTGTTGTGGAGTGAAGGTCATATTTAGCTATTTTGGTGTTGTGGAGTGAAGGTCATATTTAGCTATTTTGGTGTTGTGGAGTGAAGGTCATATTTAGCTATTTTGGTGTTGTGGAGTGAAGGTCATATTTAGCTATTTTGGTGTTGTGGAGTGAAGGTCATATTTAGCTATTTTGGTGTTGTGGAGTGAAGGTCATATTTAGCTATTTTGTTGTTGTTGAGTGAAGGTCATATTTAGCTATTTTGTTCAGGTGGGACAATGATATTCATTCTGCCACATTAAGTCACATTACAAAAAGGGTTGTGGGGTCATGGACGTACTGGCTTACATTTCTATATAATTTCTTTATCTTTACAGGATTTTAACAAGTACAGAGAACTGTAAGTATATCCCACTTTGTCTTCTCTATAAATGATTGTGATCAGTCACTAGCAGTTTTGCATTCGAAGTGATGGCTGTTTTTAAGTACCTTTATTTGTATACCATTCCTTCTAAAAATAAAATTTCAGTTGTGCTTAGTTTTATAGTTTTATATTACAGGACTTGTTTGTGAAAAATTGAATAAGGATATAGGAGATATGTCAGTCTCATGTCTTTATTTTACAAGGCATATTCCTGTTGTAACCAATTTCCAATATTTGTATTCTATGCCTTTAATATTTGAAATGGAATAAAGTGGAATGTAGTTCAGATGATCGCTATATGTGGAGTAATGAGAAGAAAGTTACGTGTTATAAGTTACTGGTGGTATTTACTTGGGAAACAAGTACAGTTGGTGTCCTGTTATATGTTACAGACATGAGGAGCTAGCACAACTCGAGTCCGAGCTTTACAAGACAGGTCCTGTATGTCCCTGGTACAAAGATGATCCACGAACTGCACGCTCAAAACAAGATATATGTGACACATTGTTGAGGATGACAAGTGATCTTGACAAGTTGGATGTCTCCGTTAACAAACAATCGGGTACAATAACTGTCTCTATTATAGTCTCTTTATTGATAGATTGTAGAATGCCCTTGTAATTTGCATGTGAAGGGATCTAGATTTATGTAATAACATTGAACATTGTTGAGTTTGTTATAATTATGTTTAAATGTAGTTTTACTTTAACTTTAGGTATATAATGTTGGTTAAATAATATCATTATGAAATACTTTATATGTACAATGTTCATGGCTTTGCTGTTGATATACTTCTTTGGAGTTTGCCAACAAACCTTGCAGTGATGAAATTATTTTTAAGTAAAAGGTTCTAGCTAGAGAAAGCTTGGGAAATACATATAACTAAATTAACACAAGGGAAAAGATTCTTTTCATCAAATTTTCCAAATTTGTCATCATTCTGTTTTCTCAGATAATCCATTCGGCTTGGAAAGTGCAGTGCAAGGTGTAAGTATGGTTGTATTTTACCAAAGCAGAAATTCTCAGATATTCTGGCATTTGTAGTTTTTTGTGTTTCGATAATAACTGGTGTTAGTATGCAACCCCCACTCCTACCAACAAAGAATTTGTTTGTGTAGGATATAACTCATCCATCTGCCCATATCTACATCATGTAGGGGAAATCATTCTGATTTCCTGAAGATTTTTTCACAAAACTTTATAGATGTGTTTCATAACTAGATAATCAAAAGGTCGGTAACTCAAAGGTCAAGGTCATGGTAAGGGATCAAAGGTCAAAAGCTTGTCTGTATTAACTACCCTGACTGTCCAGACTGTAACTTCTGATCAACATTATTGCATATTTTTTTTTAAATATTTTACAGAATATCTTGATAAGACAGTATGCCACATAATACTCACAGGTCCATAGCCCAATCAAAAGGTCAAGGCAGTGGAAAAGGTTCAGTAACCGTAACATGGATCAGCAAACATTTTGTTCATTGGAAATTTTGCTTTCTTGATGCTTAATCCACTGGAAGACTTATGCTCTCTTATAATAATTAGTTATTGTCAACCAGTGATGTTGGATCGTTTCCCTTCACTAACTTATTTCTATTTCTAAGTTTGAAGATCCGATAAATGTTTTCAAAAGATATTTTACTGATTAATTACATGTACATTTAGAATCCTATAAATGCTTTACAGAAATTTCTCTTTGTGTTTTAGCTTAAGTTGCACTCGAAGTCTAAAATGATACCAAATACAACAGGAAAACTGCAGCATTCCAATCCTTTAACCAGTAACGCTACTGATCCTATGAAACGAAACACAGAGGGTCCAAAACTGATTCATGCAGCAGATGAGAATTATAGGCGAGCTGAAGACACTGATATCCCCATACCCAGGAGTGAATCGACAGTAAAACAGCCCGACAAGAAGACGCAGCGAGATTTTTTAAAGAAAATGTTGTGCAAATCATTGAAAAAACATTTAGAAGTTTACATAGTTTCAAAAAGTTGGTTAGAAAAACATCAGACTTTCTTAAATAAGAGGGAAGGAGATGGCATTAATCCGGGCCCGGTAGACAATTCTTCCATCATGGAAACTGGTGATAATTTGAGTTCAAATTTGTTGGAGAGATATGATTTTGTTGCTCTTAATGAATCTGGATGGTCAAGGATTGTGAAGTGGTACGGGCTCAAAGAAGGACAAAAGCCAATCAAACGCAAGGTCATATCTGAAGGACTGCTGTCTGGAGCTCTTAGTGTAGAGATCTATCCAATGAAAGTTGTTCTTGCATGTGCTGGTCAAAGGTCATGTCCGCATTATAGTAAATCAGATTCACTTGGATTCTTGAAGCAGGAATTTCACAGAATTTTCAAGATTTTTGATAACAAAAATTTGCAAATGAAAATCAAAGTAGGAGGTACCAGTACGAACTTTTGGATAAACCTATTCAGTGAGTCCGATACCTGCTCACTAAAGGATGCTGGGATAACCCAGGGAACCGAAATACACTGTGATGTTGAATGAACTGAACAAGAAAATTTTCCTTCTACTGTTAGGAGGCATGTCTTAGTACTAATACATTTTTAGCTGGTGTCTACCTGGAATGGAGCCCGATATAGTTTGCAAACAGAAATGGCCTTGACATTATTTTCATGGTCACGGGTGAAATATATCAAAATTTTCAAACAACTTTTCCTGAAGAACCAAAAGGCCTAGAGTCATTTTTTTGGCTGGTAGTATCCTTGAAGGGAGTCTGTCAAAGTTTGCAAATGAAAATGACCTTAATCTACTTTCACGGTCACAGGGGTCAGATACTCTGTCAAAAACTTTAAATGATTTGATCTGAAGAACATAAACGCCTAGGGTGATAACATTAAGCCAGTAGCATGCAGAGGGGAAGGGCTATCAGGTTTGTTGAAGTGAACTTGAATGATTTTAATCCACTTTAAGGGTCGCGGGGTCAAATGTGTCAAAACCTTTAAATGACTTCCGACTAACCAAAAGTCAGAGAGAGATGATATTTTGCAAGTACTTGTATTGTGCTAAAATGAAAGGCTATCAGTTTGTTCAAATGAATGGCCTACCCAGATATTCAAGGTCACAGGGGTAAAATGTACCTGTGTTTGGGTGGTTGGGTTGCACAGTGGATAACACACCAGCCTTTCGCCATGGACGTGAAAAGTTATGGGTTCACCTGCCCGACCACATGGGTTTTCTCCGGGTACTCTGGTTTCCTCCCACATTAAGATTCCTGCTTGCTAGCATCTGGGTCAACAAGAGTGATTAATATAAGTTGTAATACCAGTAACTTGTTCTAAAATTGTTGTAAAATAACACAAGTCAGAGGGTGATGATATTTGGTCAGTAGCATTCAAGAGTGATGTACTTTCAATTTTGTTCAAATAATTGGCCTACCCCGATGTTCAAGGTCAAAAGGGTCAAATGTGATAAAATCTTTAAACAACTTCTCAATAACAAAAAGGTCACAGGGTGATGATATTTGGTCAGTAGCTTGCTGGTATTAAGGACTACGAAGTCAGACTTTCAAGGTCACTGGGGTCAAACCTTGTAACAGGTTCTCTTGAATAACTAAGGGTCATAGGTAAAGATAATTAGACTGTAGCTTTATTTAGTCCATTTAGATATATTTGACTTTGGTCCACTTTTAAGGTTAAAAGTGTGAGATTAATAGCAAATGAGTGATGTTGGCCCATTTGGTAAGGTTACACCTGTACAAAATGTTTCAGTGTTTTTATTTTGATTACAAATATTTGGTGAGGTTACACCTGTACAAAATGTTTCAGTGTTTTTATTTTGATTATAAATATTTGGTGAGGTTACACCTGTACAAAATGTTCCAGTGTTTTATTTTGATTATTAATATTTGGTGAGGTTACACCTGTACAAAATGTTTCAGTGTTTTTATTTTGATTATAAATATTTGGTGAGGTTACACCTGTACAAAATATTTCGGTGTTTTTATTTTGATTATAAATATTTGGTGAGGTTACACCTGTACAAAATGTTTCAGTGTTTTTATTTGATTATAAATATTTGGTGAGGTTACACCTGTACAAAATGTTTCAGTGTTTTTATTTTGATTACAAATATTTGGTGAGGTTACACCTGTACGTTTTTATTTTGATGATAAATTTTTGGTGAGGTTACACCTGTACGTTTTTATTTTGATGATAAATATTTGGTGAGGTTACACCTGTACGTTCTTATTTTGATTACAAATATTTGGTGAGGTTACACCTGTACAAAATGTTTTATTTTGATTATAAATAATTGGTGAGGTTACACCGGTACGTTTTTAATTTGCACTTCTTCATTTACTGTATACCTTGTAATTTTTGCAAGTGTTACATTTGCGCTTTTTGCAGAATAATTCAACTGTGAATTAAACAAGGCATTATGGTAAGATCTAGTTTGAAAATTAAAAAAATATAGAAATAAAACAGTTTGCTGCAATGAAAATTATCCTGATTAATTCAAAGGTTCCTGTCAGCTTAAAATTGCATTCTGTTCAAGCTATAATCACAGTTTACTGTTGAAATTTTGATACAGACATACATTAAAATTTCATAATTTCAAAATGCCACTGTGCTATTTCAACATATTAAAAATATCACAAGATAACTCGAGGAAGAAGAGCACATTAAAAAGTTTAAATGCTTAATTGTTAAGATAACACAGACCAAGTCTGTGAATTCAACACAAAAATAAACCTGCACAAATTAAAAAGCTGGATACAGTAATGCAGTTATTAATTAGAAAATGCTGGGTGGGTATTGGTGTCTTACATACATGTGTTTCTGCAATGAAATGACACAAACATCTCAAGATAATGAATTAATTTAATGAAAATAAATGTAGTCTAAAAAGTCAAAGGTACAATTAAATAAATAAATTCAACCAAAACTTGTGGTGGAGATAATTTACTTAAAACTTATATTATGTTTACAAACAACCTACTCTAATATATATTAAAATGAACTGTTAAGTTATAATAAACAGTAAACTGTCAGAGAACGCCTTGGGAACTGATATACATGTATCAAAAACAATAAGGTGTATATGCTGATGTAAATTCTCTTCACATTTAAAAACATGCTTTTTTTTTAAGTAGAAAAATACAAATCTTTGCTAAAATTGTACATTTGCAAAAGCATAAAATTGTGAAAGCATAAAAATAATTACATAATAATATTTCATAATACAATTCAAATTGAAAATATCCTACTTTTAAGGAATGGGCTTGAGGTTTTGGTTCCCCAGACTGGATCTATTACCTGTTGTAAAGTAGAGGAGAAGGAACTTGTTCTATCTGGAAACCTGTTTTATCATATTGACACAAAATGTACAGGCACTTTTAATAGCAATATTCCAACCATAATTTGCAAAAAAACAATCTAAAGCCATATCTGCTCTTTTAATATTGTTTACACTCTTGCCTCTTTATTGATACATATAAATAGGTTGTGATGAAAGCACAAAGCTGTCGAAGGAGTTAGTCTTCACACCCAGGTGATCCCTCTCCCTTAAAGTTCAAATTGAGTTAATCGACGGGCATTTTGGTTTTCAAACTAACACTGTCAGATAGAGGACCTACAACACTGTCAGATAGAGGACCTACTTACTCCCTGGTCAAAAAAATATAGTGGATTTTTATATGGAGTAAATGAAGTAGAGTAATGTTAAAGACAACAATATTGCATGTAATGTTTCATATGTACCGTGGAAAAACAACATGTTAATATTTTATATGTACAGTAGATTAATACCATAAAACAAGAGGCCCATTGGCCTTAACGGTCACCTGATATATTTATACAGAGAGTTGATTTTTGTTTTTAACATGAACAGAAATATTATTCAAAGTGACAAAAAACAATAAAACCACCTTATTCAATATCTAGCATGCAGATTTAAGACTGAAAAGTATTTGAAACTAGCACCTCTGATTCTAAACAAGGAAAATGAAGAAATTTTATTTTAGCACACAGACTCCATTGGGCCCCACCCTACAGCCCTTGGGGGTAGGGATGGCTCAAAATTTACAAAGTATCAAACTGTCAACTTAGGGTTATAATTCCAATCAAGTTATCAACATGTAATATTCAAAGTATCATTTGCCATTATAAACCATAACAAATTTTGCCCCCCCCCCCCTTCCCCAGGGGGAAACGTGAGACCCCAGGGTCATGAAATTCACAATTTTGGTAAAGCACCTTAAGACCCTTCCATCTATGAAGAGTATTTGATTCTACCATATCTGGGTCTTGAGAAGAAGATTTTTGAAATTTCAGTCAATTCAACCCTTTTTGGCCCCACCCATCAGCCCCTGGGGGTCAGTCAGGGCTCATAGGTGCATACTATCAAACTGCTACCTAATACTGATAATGCTAACCCAAATTGAATTACTTCCAATGGAAATTAAACAAATGTTGGTCCAAAATGTGATTTCCCTATATAAACTATAGTAAAGTTTACCCCCTCCCCAGGGGGAAACGTGAGACCCCAGGGTCATGAAATTCACAATTTTGGTAAAGCACCTTAAGACCCTTCCATCTATGAAGAGTATTTGATTCTACCATATCTGGGTCTTGAGAAGAAGATTTTTGAAATTTCAGTCAGTTCAACCCTTTTTGGCCCCACCCATCAGCCCCGGGGGGTCAGTCTGGGCTGATATATGTATACCATCAAACTGCTATCCAATACTGATAATGCTTACTCAAATTGAATTACTTCCAATGGCAATTAAACAAATGTTAGTCTAAAATGTGATTTCCCAATGTAAACTATAGTAAAGTTTACCCCCTCCCCAGGGGAAAACGTGAGACCCCAGGGTCATGATATTCACAAATTTGGTAAAGCACCTTAAGAACCTTCCATCTATGAAGAGTATTTCATTCTACCATATCTGGGTCTTGAGAAGAAGATTTTTGAAATTTTAGTCAATTTTACCCTTTTTGGCCCCGCCCCTCAGGCCCCTGGGGGCTGGGGACCAATGTAAATTGTTTACGGACGCGCGACGGAGTTCAGATGAGTTTCCTTTTCTTTTCTAAACATTTCATTGACAATGGCAGGGCAAAGTCCTTCCCTTTGTTTTCTAAAGATAATTCTTCTGTTCTTTTGCAAGCCTGTATCTCTTTCTTTAGGACTTTTGTTCTTTTGTAAAATCTTCAAAAGTTTCTTAAAGCTTCTTAAAAGGAAATTGTAGTATGCGGAGTCCGTATCACATGGGGTAGGTTCCGTGTTGGTAGCGTTAAAGTATTTGAAAAACATATTTTCGTGTGATGAAATTGTTTAAAGTGCATGCATGGGGTTAGATTTAAACAGGATACAGTGCCTCAAGAACGAGAAAAAAAACTGAAAACTCTTCCCGCGTGCCTCCTCCCTCCACAAGTTGCTATAAATATATCACCCATATATCACTATTGAAATACAAGCGCACAGATACAGTTCGTTTTCCGACACACATGCTAGCCCAGAGAAACATTCAAGTTATAGAAGTCTAAAGCTTTGGAAATAAAAGTTGAATAACACCGACATGATCTGGGCCCAGTTATTCAAAAGGTGATTAGCATAAATTTTAATTTTTGTGTATCTTTAAAACAAAAGTTACAACTTTCCAGATAGCAAATATTTAGTTGAGTGATTTTACATGCAAAATTGTGAGATTTTACCTTGTATATTGACTAAATTATTAAAGGTTGAAAAATGTCGTTAAACAGTGATTAAGCTAATCACCTTTTGAACAACAGGTCATTAAATGACAGTCGTTTGTAATGAATTAGATTCATAGTATAAACATATTAAGAAGAACATATATTTACTGATATATTAATTCAAATATGAAAAACATTACATTTTCATTTCTGTACATTAAATAAAATTCTATAATTGATATTGATTTACAGTTTACATTTTGTAAAAAATCACTGCTATGCATTTTGCTAGTTGATCATCGGATTTCAGGTATTTTATTAGTAAGCACTCGCAGTGATTTTCTAGTCGATATAGTCCAAGTCCATATCAAACCCTGAAAGGGTAGTCTTCTTTTCTTTTCTTTGCTGAAAGCACAATGATATATATACACAATTGATTTGTTTGCAATACACAAATGCACACTGTCACATGAACACAAACACACGCACACAATAACAATGAGAAGTCATTGAATATCAATTCATAACAAAATTATGATTTGATATTTTTTTATCTAAAATTGTAAACGTTTTATTTGTAAAAATTTGTACTGAATTTTAAAGTCAAATATATATAATATGTTATCGTAAATAAGTGTATGATATATATATTTAAGTATAACGAAGATTATGTTGAAATCACTTTAACCTGTAGTCATAGGAGTTTGAAGATTGATTATATCACCCTTGGTAGGCCAAACCTTTTATTTATGTAACGCTGAGTCCCAAATGATACTTGAGACCAATTTAGATTAAAACAAGCCAATTTGTGGAATTTATATCTCCTGCTTGCAGTACAAATTGTAGGTTAACATTATTGAGGTTAGGTTTAAACATGTGAGTATCGTGCTGTTGAGACATAATCTAAAGCTTGAAACTCGAAGAAAAAAAAGCCTTATACCTCATTTTTTATCTTTAAATAGCACAAATCACATCGGTTGGCAAACTTAGCATGATTCGGATGTGCATACGGAATTTGGTTGAAATATCTGCACAATATCTACAGCAATTATCACACGAAAACCAAAGAGTGCCAAAGATGGGTGGAAAGACAGAGGAACACAAACATTGTTATCAAGTCTGAAGGAATTTGGCTAATTTTTGTTGAGTTATTTAGCGGAAACTGCAGATAATGATGTTTTTCGTTAATCAAGGGGCCATAACTCCGCAATAAGGAGTCCGATTAAAGTGGTTGTCAAACTTGGTCGAGCATTTAAGGCATTTAACCCTGGTACCAAGTTTAAAGAAATACACTGAAACAGCAGATAATGACGTTTTTCGTCATTCAAGGGGCCATACCCGGTAACTCCGCTGCTGAAAGTGGTCATTGAACTTGGCCGAGCCCTAAGGCATTTAAACCTGTTACCAAGTTTGAAGAAAATCGGTTAACATTTGTTGCAGTTATTAAACGGAAACGAAGCGTGACAGACAGACGGACAAACCCAAATTAATATGCCCCGTTTCGGTGAAAGCGGCGGATAAAAAAAAACTTTACCAATACTCAAGGAGTAAGATTTTACAAATTTACTTAAATTTCCATTGTTTGTCCCCGCCCCTATTCCCCAAGAGGGACCACATCCTTCATTGAACAATGTTGAGTCTTATTGGCCCAAGGGCACTTTAGAACTAAAATCCATTTATCAATAGTCCAGGAGTAGGATTTTAAATATTTACCTTAATTTCCTCTATTGGGCCCCACTCAATTTCCCTAGAGGGAGCACACCCTTCAATTATACAATGTCAATTCCCCTTGACCCAAGGACAATTAAGAACAATTTTGATTACAATCTTTTAACCGATACCTAATAAAAGGAGTAGGATCTTTAAAAATTACCGAACGATTTCCTTATTGGGGCCCTGCCCCTCTTCCCCAATTGGGTTACACCGTTCATTTATACAAAGTTGAATCACTTTCTTGGCCCAAAGGGATTATAATCCCTTTACCAATATTCCAGGAGTAAGATTTTATAAAGAAACCTTATTTTCCCGTATCGGGCCACACCCTCTTCCCCCAGGGTGACCACACCCTGATTGTAACATTGAATCATATTGGCCCAAGGTTACTTTAACTCATTCACCCCTGAAATTTTATAATGAACTTTTCCAACCTTTTAAACCAATTAATATTAAAAACCTTTGGCCAATAGTCAGGAAGTCGGATTTAAACTAGAAAATGTCTGTTAGACATAAATGGCCCCGCTCATGGATGGGACGCGACGGAATGGACATGGGCAGCACTATACACACACACACCCTTTTATAGTGGGGGAATAACAATACCTAAATTTCCCCTTTTGGGCCCCACTCCTCCTTCATTTATACAACATTGAGTTTTGTTTTGCTCCACACCAAATTTAGTAAAATTCATGCAGCCATTCTGGACTGGTAGAATTTTTAGTGAAAAATTATAGACGGACGACGGACATCGGCACACTACGGCTTAAGCTCACTTGCCTGAGGAAGTACAAGTGATAATTTCATACCTGTTTTCTTGACCTTCTGGGTGGTTGTCTTTCCTTGTCAATCAACAAAGACAGGAAACCTGATTGTGGTTGCTGAAAAATAACACTGCCCCATTGAAAAATCATTTTCTTTCTAAATATATCTAAACATAATGAATTCCTATATAAATCAGTATATTAAATTAATGAAATGTCAGATAACAAAAAATGGGTTATTCCTTTTAGGACCCTCAGTAAACACAACTGTTTGAAATAATCTTTAAATCACTGTGTCATGAGGAAAGCCAGGACAGGATTGGAACCTCACCCAATGACGTGCCTTTAAATATATAAAGGATCCCCGTTACCACTGCCAAAAATGTATCCATATTTTGGAGACTGTTTTTCCTGTCAAGACTATAGCTTTGATAAATCATTTATGGAAAGAAATTTATGTCTGATGGAACTCGATGAAAAAAGTAAAAAAAGCAAAAAATAATCAACCAAAGTATTCGAATTCAAAGAAAATTTGAACCAACTCTAACTGACTGAGCCGACTGGTCCATGAACCATTGACATACAATCGCTCTAACTGACTGAGCCACCTGGTCAATGAACCATTGACATACAATCGCTCCGACTGACTGAGCCACCTGGTCCATGAACCATTGACATACAATCGCTCTAACTGACTGAGCCACCTGGTCAATGAACCATTGACATACAATGGCTCTAACTGAAGAAGCCAACTGGTCAATGAACCATTCATTGCCATACAATCGCTCTAACTGACTGACCCACCTGGTCAATGAACCATTGACATACAATGGCTCTAACTGAAGAAGCCAACTGGTCAATGAACCATTCATTGCCATACAATCGCTCTAACTGACTGAGCCACCTGGTCAATAAACCATTGACATACAATGGCTCTAACTGAAGAAGCCAACTGGTCAATGAACCATTCATTGCCATACAATCGCTCTAACTGACTGACCCACCTGGTCAATGAACCATTGACATACAATGGCTCTAACTGAAGAAGCCAACTGGTCAATGAACCATTCATTGCCATACAATCGCTCTAACTGACTGACCCACCTGGTCAATGAACCATTGACATACAATTGCTCTAACTGAAGAAGCCAACTGGTCAATGAACCATTGACATACAATCGCTCTAACTGACTGAGCAATCTGGTCAATGAACCATTGACATACAATCACTCTAACTGACTGAGCCACCTGGTCAATGAACCATTGACATACAATGGCTCTAACTGAAGAAGCCAACTGGTCAATGAACCATTGGCATACAATCGCTCTAACTGACTGAGCCACCTGGCCAATGAACCATTGACATACAACCGCTCTAGCTGACGAAGCCACATGGTCAATGAACCATCGACATACAATCCCTCTTACTGACTGAGCCACCTGGTCAATGAACCATTGTCATACAATTGCTCTAACTGAAGAAGCCAACTGGTCAATGAACCATTCATTGGCATACAATCGCTCTAACTGACTGAGCCACCTGGTCAATGAACCATTGACATACAATCGCTCTAACTGACGAAGCCACCTGGTCAATGAACCATTGACATACGATCGCTCTAACTTACTGAGCCACCTGGTACATGAACCATTGACATACAATCGCTCTAACTGACTGAGCCACCTGGTCAATGAACCAGTGACATACAATCGCTCTAACTGACTGAGCCACCTGGTCAATGAACCATTGGCATACAATCGCTTTAGCTGACTGAGCCACCTGGTCAATGAACCTTTGACATACAATCCCTCTAACTGACGAAGCCACATGGTCAATGAACAATTGACATACAATCGCTCTAACTGACTGAGCCACCTGGCCAATGAACCATTGACATAAAATCGCTCTAACTGACAAAGCCAACTGGTCAATGAACAATTGGCATACAATCGCTTTAACTGACTGAGCCACCTGGTCAATGAACCATTGACATAAAATCGCTCTAACTGACAAAGCAAACTGGTCTATGAACCATTGGCATACAATCGCTTTAACTGACTGAGCCACATGGTCAATGAACCATTGGCATACAATCGCTTTAACTGACTGAGCCACCTGGTCAATGAACAATTGACATACAATCGCTCTAACTGACTGAGCCACCTGGTCAATGAACCATTGACATAAAATCGCTCTAACTGACAAAGCCAACTGGTCAATGAACCATTGACATACAATCGCTTTAACTGACTGAGCCACCTGGTCAATGAACAATTGACATACAATCGCTCTAACTGACTGAGCCACCTGGCCAATGAACCATTGACATACAATCGCTCTAACTGACTGAGCCACCTAGTTAATTAACCATTGACATACAATCGCTTTAACTGACTGAGCCACCTGGTCAATGAACCATTGACATACAATCGCTCTAATTTACTGAGCCACCTGGTCAATAAACCATTGACATACAATCGCTCTAACTGACGGAGCCACCTGGACAATGTCCTACAGCTATATACAAAAGAAATAAAAGGGAAGTTACTGTATTTTATGAAAAACTACAGTGTAAAGACTACTTAAGTAGTTTTGAGGATCGAGAGACTGGCAGACAGCTGGAGTGGTTCAAATGAGTGCTTCATACTGAAGGTACTTCAGCCCATTGACGACCAAGTAAATAAAACAAACTCTCATTCTTTTGTTAGAGATAAAATTGTTATAATGACATAGCAAACGCATTAAGAATTAATCGGACTTTTGTTTGAATCAATGGAGCAATGGGCAACATGAAAGTGGAATATGTGCATTAAAACAATAGAGCGGTGGTGAAAGCTAAAAGTGAAAGTGATGAACTGAAAGCGGTGGTAATCGACTTGCAATTCTGTTCAATGAAGGCAAATCGTGTGTTCAAATGGCTTAGTGAGAATGTCAGAAAAGACTGGTTAAGTTGATCCTCTATAAACAAAGAACTAGACTTTTTATAAAGTCCTCTCGAGTTCAGTGAGGTATACAGAATTGGCAAGAGGAAAAGAGGAAAGCCTAGTCTTGTTAAGATTCAGTTTCTTTATCATAACGTTGACTTGTGTTGTTTTTTTACATAAATTCTACAAGAAACGAATTACGATGTGAGATGCAGTTCGCCTGGGCACTTCCTGACAACGGAGGGAGATAGCCTGAATATAAAGGGCAGTGTGACCGTGGCAACGGCGGCCAGGCACAGCAAACACCATGCACCTCCCACATCGCTCAAGTCTGATGAGACTTACGTCAAATCAGTCAAGTAGCGGTTGTCGGAGGACTATACAATTTTTCGAATTTATAGCTTGGACATTTGGAGGGGATTTAAAAGGATGATTGTTGATAGTGTGATACATTCATTAAGGTATACAAGGTCGGAATGTTGGTTAGACAATGCGGATGGCTTTGCGGTGAACATTTTGAGTGCTTTCAACAGTCCTTGGATCCAGGTGCAAAGGAGGTAGTCTGATGTGTTAATTCAAACCATTATTGCCCCGATTTAATTCTTCAGAATCGATAGAATTGGATAGAATATATATGTGTTTTACCAAGTCTGCGATATACCATGTATTACTGAGTGATTTTCAATGCCATGTGCGAGCATGAATGCGTGAATTATTTCCAACAGACCAAGCACGCTCAACGCTTCTAAAAGTCTCTACCATAATTTTCAAATGTAAGCAAGCGATTTGTAGAAATGGTTCCGTTTGTCGATTGAGGATGCAAGCAGTTATTTTTGTATAGATTTTATGACAGACAAACATTTTTTTTTAAATTTTATTTCTAGATCAACAGTCAGGACAACTGACGACAGCGTCAAAATTTATACTGATAAACGCACAGCACAGTGAAATGGAAACATAGGCATCCAGTGACAAATCTTGCACACGCAAAAACAGCCTATTTCAAATAACTTGACATAATACAGTCTCCCGGACAAGGAGGTAGACACGATAACACCCATTCATCACATTTTACTAGATAGAATAGATATGATCTAGCGGCTTTCGTTAATTATTTTTTCAACATTTTCTTAACCTCGTTATATCTTCAACCATTCTACATGCACATTACGCTGATTCTTTCTAACATACATACGGTAATTGTTGCACTGCAGATAATTAGGTATTCTACAGTACCTAGCTTAGTATACTTCGATGAAGCTAGAAGCAATGAAACAAGCCATGCTTACGATAGTGAGGTTTTTATTTAAAGTTCAGTCGATAAACTTGCTTACACAAAAACATTGAAAAATGATTGGAAAAATTAATGTACTTGAATCACATTACATACCATATCATTCTCTAGGTAGCTTTCCCGTGGGTAGTCCACCTGATCTGGTCGTTCAGGAGTTCCCTTCATGGTCAAACCCCTAACAAATGGGGTTCCTTCTTCTTCGTTATAAGGTAACGGTGCAGGTCGTCGTGTATTGTATATTTCACTTGAGATATCTTTGCCAGTATTGGGGTCAACAATCTTGATCCACTTTCTCTCTTCTTGTCTTCTCTGATATCGAAACGTAAATGTTTCTTTTTATACAAGCAAATATACATAACCTATACCTACACAAACATTCCTTCAATAAACTTGCATCATAAGTCATTACGATAGTGATTTTAGCTTTCAAACATCTTCATCTTAGGATCATTTTATGAAATGTAAATATTTTAATCGTAACTTTCAGATGAGATGTCGTTTGTATTTTGCAATGAGTCTGATCCTTTCCATCTCAAGATAATTTCATGGATGATGGTGCAAATTCAGTAATAAGTTTCAGGTTGCACAAGTCATGATGAACGAAGAAAGGCAATCAAAATAGCTAGGTCATCTGAGTGGTTCAGGTGACCTCTGTCCATTTTGTCAATGGACTGGTTTGCCAACTCAGAATTATTTATGATAAGCCAACGTAGCACTTATTGCAGGAACATTATTTTTTCAATATCGAAAAGATAGCTACTGAAAATCAATGTATCGCCTAAAAATCAAGATTAAAAAATGAAGTATGATTTTTTAACTATATAACAAATATGAGATCTTCATTAGTTCTATGTCAGTTTAGTATTGTGCTTTCATTTCTCTTCTTTCTCTGTTTGATTGATAATCTTGTCAACAATGAATGTATCTTGCAGTAACTTTTAGTCAATGTCTTAGATCTTAAATAGATGTCATGGCCATAACTCTGTATTGCAGGAATGGATCTGATCATACCTCACTGATTTCTTGTTCATGGCCGTGGGATTTGTGACAACTTCGATCCAATGTCAAGGTCATTCGGCATGTTAAAAAGTCTATCCGTGCAATTCTACCAGCTTTGGCTGAATCTTGACTTCTCTTCCAAGGTCATATCTCAGTAGTAGAGCTTTATAAATTCTTCGAATAGAGGAGCTTTTCTATTTAAGCTCTTATTATGTGTTGTTATACCAGTACGCTACGTATAAAGATATCTGAACTCTCCTTTCTTACAGTTCTTTTGGGATCATAGTTATCACTAGCGCACTTACGTTCCGAGATTATGGGTCTTGATGTAACTGAAGTCCCAACAGAACTGGATGGACCTTCATATTTTGCAACTAAGGGGATAAATGTCGTCCAACCATGTAATTTCTTATTTGTAACCAAATAAGTTTTTCAATAGAATCAATAAAATTTCATATTTCATATTTCAGATATTATTTTTGTACTCAGCATTTTGGAACAAATGTAAATCTTGCAGCATCATGATGCTTACATATAACTCGTTTTCCAGATATCTGTGAACTTTTAAAATATCTAATATGCTTTTCAATTTGAGCTGTTATAAACTTTTCTGACAAATATAATATCTTTATCGGTCTGAAAAGCATAACGGATATCAGTTTATAAGTCAACTTGTAAATTCTTATAAAGTGTTGTACCACTTTCGTTCTCGTTAAATTGGCTTGACATCTAAATGTTGAAAGGTCAAACGTCAAGGTCACAAGGTAACTTAATGATTTGACCATTTCACACTGCACAATTAATGGATTGTCATTCTAAGGAAGTAAATATTGTCTATTTCACATAATTGTGAAACAATATTTTGGCAATTACTCAATGAATTTTAAGGTTAAGAATAAAAATGTAATATAATAGTCTGATATTTAAATGTCTGAGGTAATGAATTGTCAACATACCGTATCAATTGTTGTTGAATAAGCTGCTGCTGAAATTTCTTTCCTTGAAAGTTGAAAGTTTGCTGTAGATTCTGAAAATTTCATAGGTAAATTATGTCTGAATTTTTGCTGACAGACTTGACAATCTCACTTTATACATTCGTAGGTTAGTCAGAACATTGGTCATTCTTTTAATATCGGATGATAGTATGCACAATACCTGCTATCAACTAAACATTCCTTTTCAATATTAAACTATATAGGTATCAGACTAAACGTGACCGAGTGGAAAATCAGACATTGATGTGTAAGGTACCTCTTTTACCAGTTTTACTTTAAGTGTGCTGGCAATTAAATGTACCTCTTTTCTGGTTGCCCCCTAACTATGTGGAAAATTGATTTTACCACTTATAAGTGTTAGCCCATTAAATATACATTTACCCTCCACCTTCCCCCAACTAACAGGAAAATTAGCTGTACCTTTTTCACGTGTTGGTACCCTAAACAAGTGGACAATTAAGCGTGCCACATTTATAGTTGACCCCTAACTAAGACTGCTGTTTATCTTCACAATATATCCACCTACTGCTGTATATCTTCACAATATATCCACCTACTGCTTTATACCTTCACAATTTATCCACCTACTGCTATATATCTTCACAATATATCCACCTACTGCTGTATATCTTCACAATGTATCCACCTACTGCTGTATATCTTCACAATATATCCACCTACTGCTATATCTTCACAATTTATCCATCTACTGCTTATATACCTTCACAATTTATCCACCTACTGCTGTATACCTTCACAATGTATCCACCTACTGCTGTATATCTTCACAATGTATCCACCTACTGCCGTATACCTTCACAATATATCCAACTACTCCTTTATATCTTCACAATATATCCACCTACTGCTGTATATCTTCACAATATATCCACCTACTGCTATATATCTTCACAATGTATCCACCTACTGCTGTATATCTTCACAATATATCCACCTACTGCTGTATATCTTCACAATGTATCCACCTACTGCTATATACCTTCACAATGTATCCACCTACTGCTATATATCTTCACAATATATCCACCTACTGCTGTTTATCTTCACAATATATCCACCTACTGCTATATATCTTCACAATATATCCACCTTCTGCTATATATCTTCACAATATATCCACCTACTGCTTTATACCTTCACAATGTATCCGACTACTGCTTTATACCTTCACAATGTATCCACCTACTGCTATATATCTTCACAATATATAGCAGAAGGAGGATACATTGTGAAGATATATAGCAGAAGGAGGATACATTGTGAAGGTTTACAGCAGTAGGTGGCTACAGTGTGAAGATATATAGAAGTAGGTGGATACATCGTGAAGATATACAGCAGTGGGTGGATATATTGTGAAGGGATATAGCAGTAGGGGGATACATTGTGAAGGTAGAAAGCAGTAGGTGGATACATCGTGAAGATATATTGCAGTCATTGGGTACATTGTGAAGATATAAAGCAGTAGGAGGATACATTGTTAAGGTATACAGCAGTAGGGGGATACATTGTGAAGGTATAAAGCAGTAGGGGGATACATTGTGAAGGTATAAAGCAGTAGGGGGATACATTGTGAAGATATAAAGCAGTAGGAGGATATATTGTGAAGGAATATAGCCGTAGGCGGATACATTGTGAAGGTATAAAGCAGTAGGGGGATATATTGTGAAGGTATACAACAGTAGGTGGATACATCGTGAAGATATACAGCAGTCGGTGGATACATTGTGGGATATACAGCTGTAGGTGGATATCTTCACAATGTACCCACCTACTGCTATACATCTTCACAATATATCCAACTACTCCTTTATATCTTCACAATGTATCCACCTACTGCTGTATACCTTAACAATGTATCCACCTACTGCTATATATCTTCACAATATATCCACCTTCTCCTGTACACCTTCACCTACCTAATGTACCCATCCATATTACCTGCTTCTGCTCTGGTGTCTCCAGTTGTTCCAATCTCCATGTTGTTGATATCAGACATGATTCTCTTTAGATCATCATTCAATCCATGTATTTGTTTTGAAACATCCAGCTCCTTTACATCACCAAGAAGTCGTTTGATGTTTTCAGACGTCATAGATTCGTCCCGTGATGCCTTTTCACATCTGGAATAAATGTCTCACTGAACATGTTTACTAAACGCAAAGCTCGGGGTAAACCTGATTAAGGTTTTCCGAATTACTAATGAATATCACAATAAAATATACACTGTCCTATATTTCATCTAGTTTGAACTTTCCCATCATGCAAAGCAAATAACCATCCAGACAGTATTTCTTTTTGTAAGATTATACAACTAGTATTTCAGCTTTATTGCTGTTATAATTAAAGGCCTTACAATCCTCTCTCACACATTCGGCAGATGAGTTGTCCAGACTAGATGTTTTATTATATAATGCTTGATTGCAGTTTTACTGATTTAACTGGTTAGAATATTGACAATTTACCTGTAGTTTTACAAAAAGATTAAGCATGAAATGTGTTTTAAACCATTGTTTTCTGCTAAATTTTTAACTTGATATTTTTAAATCAGAGAGATAATATGTAAGAGAGTTCTAGAAGTCTGTTGACTATGATGAAATAAAGGCCTTAGTTGCTGTCTGGACAAAGTGAGCAACTTTTTGTTATAACAAATTTGTAACTTGTAATTGATGTTTGATATTAAGCTTTCTGTCATAGTTACCGTTCTTTGTCGGATTTAATTTCCTGTTAAAAAAAAGTAAACAAAATTCATTAGTGCAAGATCCTGTAAAAAAAAACACACTATTCCCTGCTAATATTAATACATAGATGTAGTGAGAGAGATTTATCTGAACATTTAAAATAAACAAATGTTTTTAGATTTCAAAGAAATTTAAAATTGGTAATATGAGTCAAACCTGTATAAGGCAATCAGCATGCAATCAGAGTTACCAAGGAAACATAATTATGTAAGTCTTAGTAGAGTTATCATCGTGATCATGGAAATATATGCAAGCCAATGTAAACATTTATACTTTAATAAATAGTTTTGAAGTCACCATAGAACCAGATACAAGTCAATTATATTATGAAAGTGTCATGATATGTAGCCCCTTGCCCCTCAAATCATAAGAAGACAGGCTTGGATGTTTTATATTGTTTATTCCCGTAGGAAAAACCTGTAATATTAACAAACGAATACAATAGATACATTTGATAACACATTGACCTGAACTTACATACATCGACATGAATACAAAGACGCGAGTATACAAGACGGTAAATTACAAACGTACAATGACAATGTGAACATTACAGACAGACTTACCAGGGCTGATACTGATGGATGTTGACTCCTACGAGTCCTGGAGAGGAATGGCTGGAGAGAGTTGGGTTGGGACGTGACAGGCCTCCGGTCTGCCCGTGCATTCCGTTTATACTACTCAGCCCATTCAACCAATCATACGCACGCACGTACATACTGACATGTATTTACTTATGTAAGAATGACAATGTTATGCACGTGATTGATGATGTGTTAGTGCAGTGAACCTAGTACACATGGGGTACAGGGTTACATGGGTTACACACATATTGTCACTACTTGACACATTACAACTACATTAACATTATGTACGATAATAAGAATGGTTTAATGAAATAACATATTACCCGAATAGTTTTCGCAGGATCTTGAAAACTAATTGTGGACAATTTGGTGTTGAGATTCTCCAAAGTGTCCAACTGTTCATCCAAACTGTCAGTATGACTTTTATATCGCGAGTCGGTCTCCTCTTTCTTTGACTCAAACACGGACATTAATTCGGATTCTTTTTGATTCACGGCTGATCTTAGTTCCTGGAAACTTTCAGTCACATCTTCCATATTAACCTGAAGTAGTTCCTGCAAGACCAAGTGGGCAGGTGATCACCCAGAGAAACATCGTCTCTAGAGAATTCATGTTATAGAACAGTTGTTTGATAGTAAAAGTGGAAGTATTTATATGAATTGTCCATTCGATTTATGATTTCGTTGAGAAGTAAAACAAGCTTTGCCTAATTCGACACTCCTTGACTGCAGAGTTTAGTAAATAATGTACAGTGAACACTGTGTTCAAACACATTAAATGGGACTAGATGTGTTAGTCATAGTTATAGACACAGAAACGTTTGCTACAATAAAATTGTGTCAGGTTTATTGTCCTTAAATTAATAATAATAATAATTTGAGATTCTTATATACCGCTTTATCACAACCTAGTTTGTAGGTTGTCTCAAAGCAGTTAATAATTATTATTATTAGTTATATTCTGGTGTCGGTAATATTATGTACTGCAAAACGCGTATAAAAATGCGAAATTCAAATGTGATTTGACATTCAATAATAGAAAAGTTGACAAAACAACAAAAAATCGAAAATTAATCCTGATATGATTGTCCTTTTATTTCTTAAACACATTAACTGGACCAAATAATTGTTATCATACTGCCACATATAATAGATAGTATACCTGTGTTTCTTGACGGATACCGGTTAGTCTTCTCTTCATTTCCTTTAGAGATTCTTGCAAATGGATAATCTGAGGTAAAATTGTCTGTTCGACATCTTCCTGCAAAGAATGACTATCAGGTGAATGTTGCAGAAACTGCTTCAGAATTGAGCATTTTCCTTAGATATATTCATAAAATTAACAACAGTTAGGCAAATAAGTTTTTTTTCTATTTAAAAACATTGACTTATAAACACTTGTTCCGTGAAGTGTATACATGTTTGTCTGTCATAACATTTGTTCACCTCTGGGCAAGTTTGAAATCCACTTGCCTGACGAAATCGTTTCTTGCTTTGTTCACTTTGAATAATTTTTTGCCTTGTATACAGTCATATAGTGATTCAACAGTCTTAAACTATCAACACAATAGGGTCATCCAGGGCCACCAGAAGTCTTAACAACCAATCAGCACAATAGGGTTATACGGGGCCATCAGTAGTCTTAACAATCACTCAACACCTTAGGGTCATACCGGGCCATCAGTAGTCTTAACAATCACTCATCACAATAGGGTCATACAGGGCCACCAGTAGTCTTAACAATCACTCAACAAGTTAGGGTCATATCGGGCCATCAGTAGTCTTAACAATCACTCAACACAATAGGGTCATACAGGGCCATCAGTAGCCTTAACAACCTATCAACACCATAGGGTCATATGGGGCCATCAATAGTCTTAACAACCTATCAACACTATAGGGTCATATGAATAAGTAGTCTTAACAACATATCAACACCATAGGGTCATATGGGGCCATAAGAAGTCTTAACAACCTATCAACACCATAGGGTCATATGGGGCCATCAATAGTCTTAACAACCTATCAACACTATAGGGTCATATGAATAAGTAGTCTTAACAACATATCAACACCATAGGGTCATATGGGGCCATAAGTAGTCTTAACAACATATCAACACCATAGGGTTATACGGGGCCATAAGTAGTCTTAACAACCTATCAACACCATAGGGTCATATGGGGCCACAAGTAGTCTTAACAACATATCAACTCTATAGGGTCATATGGGGCCATAAGGAGTCTTAACAACATATCAACACTATAGGGTCATATGAATAAGAAGTCTTAACAACATATCAACACTATAGGGTCATATGAATAAGTAGTCTTAACAACATATAAACACAATAGGGTCATATGGGGAAATAAGTAGTATTAACAACATATCAACACTATAGGGTCATATGAATAAGTAGTCTTAACAACATATCAACTCTATAGGGTCATATGGGGCCATAAGTAGTCTCAACAACCTATCAGTACAATAGGTCATACAAGGCCATCAGTAGCCTTAACAACCTAACAAATCCATAGGGTCATATGAGGCCATAAGTAGTCTGAACAACATATCAACACCATAGGGTCATATGAGGCCATAAGTAGTCTGAACAACATATCAACACCATAGGGTCATACAGGGCCACCAGTAGTCTTAATTATCACTCAACACCTTAGGGTCATATCGGGCCATAAGTAGTCTTAACAACCACTCAACACCTTAGGGTCATATCGGGCCATAAGTAGTCTTAACAACCACTCAACACCTTAGGGTCATATCGGGCCATAAGTAGTCTTAACAACATATCAACTCCATAGGGTCATATGGGGCCATAAGGAGTCTTAACAACATATCAACACCATAGGGTTATACGGGGCCATACGTAGTCTTAACAACCTATCAACACTATAGGGTCATATGAATAAGTAGTCTTAACAACATATAAACACAATAGGGTCATATGGGGAAATAAGTAGTATTAACAACATATCAACACTATAGGGTCATATGAATAAGTAGTCTTAACAACATATAAACACAATAGGGTCATATGGGGAAATAAGTAGTATTAACAACATATCAACACTATAGGGTCATATCAATAAGTAGTCTTAACAACCTATCAACCCCATAGGGTCATACAGGGCCATCAGTAGCCTTAACAACCTATCAACACTATAGGGTCATATGAATAAGGAGGCTTAACAACATATCAACACCATAGGGTTATACGGGCCCATAAGTAGTCTTAACAACCTATCAATACCATAGGGTCATATGAGGCCATAAGTAGTCTGAACAACCTATCAACACCATAGGGCCATACAGGGCCATCAGTAGCCTTAACATCCTATCAACACCATAGGGTCATACGGGGCCATCAGTAGCCTTAACACTATCAACACCATAGGGTCATATGAGGCCATAAGTAGTCTGAACAACATATCAACACCATAGGGTCATACGGGGCCATCAGTAGCCTTAACACTATCAACACCATAGGGTCATATAGGGCCATAAGTAGCCTTAACAACCTATCAACACTATAGGGTCATATGAATAAGTAGTCTTAACAACATATCAACTCTATAGGGTCATATGGGGCCATAAGTAGTCTCAACAACCTATCAGTACAATAGGTCATACAGGGCCATCAGTAGCCTTAACAACCTATCAAAACCATAGGGTCATATGAGGCCATAAGTAGTCTGAACAACCTATCAACACCATAGGGTCATACAGGGCCATCAGTAGCCTTAACAACCTATCAACACCATAGGGTCATATGGGGCCATAAGTAGTCTTAACAACATATCAACACTATAGGGTCATATGGGGCCATAAGTAGTCTTAACAACCTATCAGTACAATAGGGCATACAGGGCCATCAGTAGCCTTAACAACCTATCAACACCATAGGGTCATACAGGGCCATCAGTAGACTTAACAACCTATCAACACCTTAGGGTCATACGGGGCCATCAGTAGTCTTAACAACCTATCAACACCATAGGGTCATATGGGGCCATCAGTTGTCAATAACTATTTAGGTTTCTAAACAGAGGATAAACCTTGACACTGTATGTTACCCACACCAATCATCTTATACAACGAATGCAAGAGGAAACAGCATGCCGATTATTTCATACCTGGTACATCTTCACTTTGTCCTTAAAATGGACAACATTGTGATTTTCATGACTCCGTTTTGGGAAACACTCGATACACAAGGCCTCGTCACATGTATCGCAGTACACCATTAAAGGTTTATTGTGATACATGCAGTCAGTTTCCACTAATCCAGTATCTTTGGTCTCATTTTCCAATTTCAATGATTGAAATTTATGAACAATGTTTTGCAAAGCGAAATTCTTTGGCAACTTCTTGATGTCTGTTTCTGTGAGCTCAACATAATCCCGACAGTTTGGACATGGGAATCGTCCATGCTCTGCTCCAAGGACATGAACATGAATATCCGACTTCTGGTGCAAGTGTGAGTGTATACATTTTCGACAGAAGTTGTGTTGACACGGCAGAGAGACAGGGTCGTTGTACAACTCCAGACATATGGAACAGGTAAGATCTTCTTCTAAATCCAGCTGGTTTGTCAATATCTGATCTTTGGAACAGGCCATTGTCTAAATAGAAAGTCTGAAAATATAGAATGAAGAAAATTTATTATTCATTCAAGTTAATTCCTCATTTCGTGTGTATAACTGTATCTCTTGGATGAAAATATATAAGGATAAGTATATATGGCTAAATGAGTAAATCTCACGTACACATGTTATACATATTTGTGACTGCATGGCTTTACATGGTGATTTGAATTCACAGAATGATTATTTTCATGAATATAAAAACGACCTTGGGTAAGCAACACCCATTTTCCTTTACAAAATTATACCATTTTATCAAAACGGTGTTCATTCCATATTAGCTTAATGTATGCCGAAAAAGTTCTGAGAAGTAGTGAGATGTACACAACAGGCTTTTCCACTTCGCCTTAAGGTGTAAGTGGGATTACCAAATGATACTATTATATGGGATTTCATCCCATCGACTCCTTGATGCTATATACCAGTGATTTATATCAAATTAAACCATGCTGAAGGAGTCCAGTTTTACATTATTAATAAAGTCATTTTACTCAAACTACTTGTGTCTTACTTAACCTTTAACCTTCAAATATGGCCTTAAAAATATGTGTGTTTCAGGTATCCCGACCTTCCCTAAATTTTCCTACCAACCCTTCGAAATGTTATTACCTACGTGTACTTGTATCTCAGATTAATTTATTAACCAGGCAAAGTTCAGTACAGCCTGTCACTGAAATATACTTTCTTTCTGTTTTGTAAGTCTGACCCTATTCAAATTAATAGTCATTACAATGTGTGGAAATGGCATTGTAAAATTTGATATAAAGCAAAATATTGATCCATGAAAAATAAAAATAAAATTACATGCCTACCGACCTACCCTATTTTTGGACATGTTACTTGAAACACACATTATTTTTTGGCACAAGGAAGCCACCATCTTTATTTAAACATAATCATATTACCCATATTAAACCTGATATAATTAAAGATACAAAACTAACACTGAGGATTAACCAGCTAAGGCAGTTCTAATGGGTAATAGATACAGTATGTCAAAAGGAATAACTGATTGTTCAGCTAACCCCAAACAAGATGCAGCTTATGGTAATTATACAGCTTAGACAGTTTGATAGGAAGGTAGGAGGAGAGGCATTTGTACTGGGAATCACATGGAGTATATAATTGTCGATATCATCCAATTTGTTTTTATTACTTCTGTTGAAATGAATACCTAGCCTGTTATGTCGTTTCAGTTATATATTATGTAATGAGAATAGATATATCAAATAGATGAAAGATGAATGACTCTGTCTCAAAACAAAATATGTACAACTCACAGGAAAGAGGTGTTTTGCAAAGGAAATCAATCACTAACAGGGTTGTGCGCTTGGCTGTCGTCATGCCCTCTTCCCCGATAATTACTGAATAAGAGAGACTCGTCTGCGTGTGTTTATCTGTCTTTTAAATACTATTTGTTATATACGTCAAAAATGACAGTAAATAAAGAACACTTTGAACAGCTCTTTGATTGATTGTCTTTTGCCTTTTGGCAAACTTTATCTATTAACATTTTTATGGTACAATCACCTCTTTTGTGTGTTACATTTACCTTACATTCAACTAACAACAAATGCAACTCCTAATTAACTCCAATGTCTACCAAATATCATTAGTGTCTGTACTTACTCAATGTAATTTCTCCGTTATTTGGCAAAAAGGTTTATCCACACATAAATTAGATTGTCAATATGGCTGCACTACAGATGGGGTTTTCCAAATAAAAACGAAAGTGAAAGTAAATCGGGAGTTGCGCCCGTGAGTGTCCCAAATGTCACAGTTTCCATGGTTAAGTAAATAAAAACAATTAACAAGACAATACCGAGGTGTCAATAAAGTAAACCGATAGTAATTGCACATAATTCGAACTCAAAATCGATAAACTATGGCAAAATGAGCACAAAGGAATTCGAAAAGACTTACCCGGAGAACATTGGAAAAGTACAAGAATTTCACCAGGTGTTCCGGAAGGGTATTAAGCGTTAATCTTTTAAAAGTCACTATTTTTCCTCAGTGTTACTTTGAAATATCAGAATTTATTATAAAAAACACAATCCCAACATATGCAGCTGTTTGTTATTCTGTCTCAAATAGTTGGCTGTCACCCAAACTCAAAATAATTTCACCAGTTTCCCGTCAGTCACTGGACCACCGCTCAAAGTGCATCAATGCATCAGGCAATGCATGATAAAGCGGTGGCCCGAACAGAATAGATATGAAAACGCCAGTTTGTTAAAGTAATCAACTTTAAAAATATATATTTCAATGACATCGGTTCGAATAGAGGCATTCCCTAGTCAAATGGCCTTTGACCTCATAACTGTACTTGAGAAAAATATTTGCACTGCTGGTTTACAAAACATACCCAAGTATCATGAATATCGTTCAAATAGTTCTTAGGATATTGTTGTTTGAAATTTTTAACATATTTGACCGCTGTGACCTTGAAAGTAGGTCAAGGTCATTTTAATGAGAAAACTATATAGCACTCCATCCTAGGTACCTACTGGCCAAATATCATGACCCTAGGTCTAACAGCACTTCAGAAGAAGTCGTTCAAAAGAAAAAGTTGACGGACGGACGACGGACGCCGCAGTACGGCATAAGATCACATGGCCCTTCGGGCCAGGTGAGCTAAAAATGATAAATCACCTGGTGTTGATGGATACACTGTTGAATTCTACAAATTATAGCAGATATACATATTTTTTTAATTCGCTCGCTGAATCAAGCACATCTAGATGGTCAATTCTCAATTTCGCAACGACGTGGTATGATAACTTATATCCCTAAAGAATGAAAAATCTAAAGTATATATGAAGAACTGGAGACCTATAACGCTTTTAAACGTGGATTATAAAATTGCTTCATCCGTTATTTCAAACAGACTAAAGAAAGTATTAGACATCCTCATTAGCGATACACAGAAAGGTTTTTTAAAAGGAAGATATATTGGGGAATGTACCAGATTAATTGATTTAATAGAAAAAAAATCAGAAAAAAATAATATTCCAGGCCTTCTTTTATTGATTGACTTCGAATTAATTTTATCTTCGACTCTCTACAATTTTTTGGTTTCGGGCCATCCATTATCCAATGTATTAAATCCCTAAACAAAAATAGTTCATGTTGTATTATAAATAATGGACACTGTTCTGATGTTTTTTTGATGTGCAACGTGGAGTACGACAGGGGGACCCTGTAAGTCCCTATATATTCATATTATGTGTAGAACTACTTAGTTCAGCTATAAAATTTAACCCAAATATAAATGGCATTACTATCAATAATTCAGAATATTTAATTAACCAATTTGCAGATGACAGATCTTTCACATTATCTGATGATCCAGTTTCCCTTGCAGCAACTTTAGACATTTTGGACAATTTTGCGAAAGCATCAGGTCTCAAAATAAATGTTGAAAAAGCACATGCAGTTTGGATTGGGGCGAGACGGGGTTGTGGGTTGGAACTTCTACCAGAAAGAAATTTATTTAAGGATTAACTTGAATATATTTTTCATGTTATGGAGATATAACACATAACGCGAAGCGGTTTATGATGAGAGTACACTCCGTTTTTTTGTGTTATAGCTCCATAACATGAAAAATATATTCAAGTTAATCCTTATAATTTAATCTACTATACACAATCCCTGTGGAAATCCACTTTTATTGTTGGACTCTTTTCTCTTAGAAATTATTGCGCCGCTGTATCAACCAATCGAAAGCGACGTTACAAATGGCGACGTCATTTTTTTACGTGATGGGATGATAACATAATTTTTTAAGCCAATGGAAATGCTTGTTACAAGCAAGATTAAATTATTATGGAATCACCAGGAAATTTTTAAACTTTTGGGAATAAAATACAATTTTCAAAAAACAAATATATTTGAAGACAATTACAATGAAAAATTAAAATCAGTCAAAAATTTATTGAAAGATTGGTCTTTCCGAAATCTCTCATACATAGGAAGAGTAACTGTTTAACGAACTTAAGCATTACCTAACCCTATCCAGACATTAACTGTTCTTTCAGACCCACCTTCATATATCATAATAGAATTGCAAAACTGTTTTTTCATTTTTGTGTGGGACGGAAAGCCTGACAAAATCAAGAGAAATATAATGTATAGCGATTATCGTAATGGGGGACTACGTCTCCCACATGTTTTAACGTTTTGTCATGCTCTCAAGATGTCTTGGACTAATTTTTTTATTAACCCCTCAAATCATGCAGCATGGAAACACTATCATAAGTGCGCCAGTGGATGAAGAAGATCCACAAGTCGGGACTTCCTGGAAAGTACAAAGCATGGATATACCAACCTGGCATGCTACCAAGGCTCACATGGCTGCTGCTACTGTATGAAATACCAACCTCAACAGTAGAAGGGTTAGAGAAGATGGTGAATGGTACCTGCTGAAATGGCTTGGGGTCCCACCAAGTTTCACATCAGTTGGGCTGTACAGTTGTTTGGCAGAACTACAACTACCATTCAAATCGGTCGTTGAAGAGTTCAAGGTAGCAAAATGCAGGCTGGGGATGACTCTGAGGGACTCCAAAGACGTGAAAATCAGCGAGGCAGGGATACAGAAAGAACAGGGAGAAAGTGTTCAGCAAGCAGTGCAGTTGGTGAAGCAGAGAGTATGCTCGAGTTGAAGGATATCATCGGGAACACCTGCGTCGGAAGACAAGGAGTTGGCTTCTCTCATTTCCAGCAGTGGGAGAAAGCAAATACCCAAGAAAGACGGCAAATGGTGCAGAAAGAAAACAGAAGGATTAAGGAGGAAAGGAGGAGAGGGAAATCTGTGAAACTCAGCAAACAGGGAGCGTGGACCAGATGGAATCTCCCAGAGAGGAAGATGACGTGGGCTGAAATATGGAGAATGGAGCCTTTTCCGGATATCATTTCTGCTACGATTCGTGTATAACACGCTACCATCTCCTGTTAACCTGCATCAGTGGGGATTGACGGAGGATCCTTACTGCAAGCTATGCAGAGGAAGAGGAACAATGGCTTATATCTTGTCTGGTTGCAAAGAAGCACTACGACAGGGTAGATACCGATGGAGGCACGACAACGTCTTGCGGGTCCTAGCAGATATCCTCGAAGTGGAGAGAAAGAGGAAAAGAACTGTTGTAAGAACAAACCAGGCTGGTGTCAAGTTTGTGAAACCAGGGGAGGAAGCCACAGTGAAGCCTCGAAGCACCTCATCCATCTTGGAACGGGCGCCAACATGGAAGATGAAGGTTGACCATGACAGGAAGCTTGTGTTTCCAGGAATAGGGGAAACAACACTGAGGCCTGACATGGCAATATGGACAGAGCAATCCAGACACCTCATCGCCATAGAGCTCACCGTACCATGGGAGAAAGGCTGCGAGGAAGCTCACGAGAGGAGGAGGCCAAGTATGATGAGCTGATGGAAAAGTGCAGGAGCAGAGGATGGACAGTATGGCTCTTTCCAGTGGAGGTTGGCTGTAGAGGTTTCCCCGCACAGTCAGTGTGGAGGACACTACAGTCGATAGGACTCACTGGGAGGGCAAGAGCTACCGCCATCAGACGATTGGGAGAAGCTGCAGAGAGAGCATCGTGCTGGCTATGGCACAAACGAGAAGAGCCGATGTGGAAGCCGACATAGACAGTAGTTTGGCCACCACTACTGACCCACCAGCCGGAGGATGTAGTGATTAAGGGTCGAAACATCTGAAGAGGGCTGGCCATCACCTGATGACGTCAAATGAGGCTTCGCGACTAGAATGACAGCAGTGACGGACTACAAGTCAAGGATGTCACAAGATGCAGAATTACCATCATCTGTAAGCAATCATAGACAAACTAGAGTGTTTTGGAGACGACAAAATTTTCAAAATGACAAAAGACGGATTAACGTTATTAGCCAAAAAATGTAATACCTTTTGGATGAAAGTGTTTACGGCTTGGGCCTCTATGCAAGAAAATGTATCCCCCACAACCCCAGAGAATGTGGTCTCGCAACCAATTTGGTATAATTATTTAATTAAAAGAGGCAATAATTGCATTCTTTATGAAAACTGGTGTAACAAACATGTGAATAGCGAAGATAAAATCAGATAAAATGGTTCATTTTAAAAGCATTCGCATTGTATGTGTAGATAATAAAAAAATAAAATAAAAAAGGGGTTAAAATAATAAAAGAGATAACGAATAGATGATATGGAATATGCGATATATATATAACGTCAAAAATGATAAGGTGGGTTAAAAGACATCAGAGTTTATAAAATAGACCGATGTCTTTCAAATAGTTAAATAATGCCTTCGAATCCACGGAACTGAAAAGTGTTTTCATATCCGGGACTCGGAAGTAGTTATCACGAATGTGTTTAAAATCGGAACATTCTATTAAAAAATGTTCCACTGTAAATGGAGTGTCACATGCGTGGCATGAAGGTATATCTTCTCGTTTTAAAAGGTACGAATGAGTAGGATATGTGTGCCCAGTGCGGAGCCGAGCGAGGACAACTTCCTCTCTACGATCTTTCCGACTGGGAATAGATGTTTTAAGTTTCGGTTGTATCTTAAAAAGTTTGTTGTTGGTCTCCAGAGACCAGCGTTTCTGCCATTCATTTTGAATGGCTGTACGAATAGTAGGTTTAAAATCTGTGTATGGTAGTTTGATATTTGTTTGTTCGAGATTCAATGCATTTTTTGCTTCCCTGTCAGC